AGTAATAATAGTAACTAACGTAGTAGTAGTTGTTCGTAACTAAACTTACTTCGTATAGTATACTAACTAACTAATATATCTCTCCTCCTCTCCTCTCCCCCCCCCCCCCCCCCTTTCCCCCCCCTTCCCCCACTCCCCCACCACAAACCACAAAAAAAACAATGAAACACCTAATTTATATCCTTACCTCAGATTTATGACCAACGAACTTGCTAACAAAGTCAGTGGAGACACGAAGATCGTGTTGTAATATACTCCTGTCTCTGCTTCCAGAAGATAGTATGCATGAACTCCAAGCCAGAACTCCAGATCTCGCCTGATGACCGCCCATGTTCCTAACCTTTTTGCAACGGGCACTGTCCCATATCTGTCAAAATTGGATATATTGTCAGGTCTCAATTAAGCTATTAAATGGTTAAGCCATCTCAACCACCTAGAGATTGCTAGTTGAATCCAGAAAAAGAAATCACAGCAGCGAATCTTTTAATGGGAGTGTTTGATTTAAGCTTAAAACTCGTTTTGTTGTCCTTGTGACATAACTATTAAGCAACTGGATATAAAATTCACAAAGTTTATGTTGTGGGACACGCTAATGGTGACACATGAAGCACCAAGGGTAATGTCCTTCCTACCCTGAATTTTTTTTGTTTAATGAACTCTCCCTGCATTTAAACTACTCTCTACCTTGACTGTTCATAACGTTTATATTCCCCTCCTAAGGTTGCAGTCTTTTGGTCTCAGATTGAAAGTGTATGACCTTTGACAAGAGTTTCTAAATGCACAAAGATTCATAGCTTGGAATTAAAAGATATTCGAGGAATTACATCAAATGAGTTTGACAAAAAAGGAGAAATTGATGAATAGGGCAAAGGAAAACCTTGTATGAGCAAAAATGAAAGCCAGAAGATAAATCTTTTCAAAAGAAATGAAAGCAAGAAGATAAAATTCAAGTGCATGGTACAAGAACAACTCATTGCTACTAGAATCTCCTTGCTCCAAGAAAATCACTCATCAACTACTCTGAGACAATTTAAGGTGTAACAGAGGGTTCAAGGCAACTTGGAGTGGAGCTGAGGAGATCTCAATTTGACAAAAAACAGGTGTCAACATCTTTGACAAAACTTGTCGAAATGCTACAAGACTCCAAAGGACTTGTAGTTCCCAACTATATGCTGCAGGTCTATAAGGGTTCCGCTACAAGTATTTTCTTCAAACAAACCAATTCTAATGAAAATAGAAAATTAGTATGACATTTAAAACTTAACAAAAGTTCAGATCCCTCAAGTAATGTGGATCAATATGTAAAACATAGGAGAAGGCCTTGAAAGCTCTTGAATACCATAGATTAGAGTAAACATTCCAGAGGGGATTGATAGTTAGTTAGAGAGAACCTAATCTTGCAAGCCTTTACATGATTAGAATAGTTCACATGTGAAAACTCAAATACAAGACAGGGACATTGCGCATGAAAGCAATTGGGGGAATAAAAAAGGACAGCTCATAAAGAAAACCAGATCTGCCAATCTGTCAAGGAATAAATACCCAAAAATGCTGACATTCCTGTAACATCACAATATCAAGGAGGAGCTAGAGCATTTCTGCATCATGTGTGGAATGGCCGACAGGTGGGATCAAAACCCAAAAGCATATTTGGAAAAGGAATTTGGAAAAGGAACTAAGACTAAAGGAACTGAGACTATGTCTTGAATTCAAACTTCACAGCATTTATAGCAATTGTATCTCTTTGTACATGCGTTTTTATCATTATATACCAAAAACATAAGGCACCAGAGAAGTACAATGGTGCCCACTAACTTTCATATGTATGTATAGCCATGCAAATAGAAGGCCAGCATGGGAACATTGGCTAATTGTGCACGTGCTGATGGTTTTGTTCTATCGTAAACTAGCCAGATTCATGCAACCAAGTAGAAAACACACACTAAGCTTCTCAAGTCTCATTCTTCAATATCGGAAAATGCCAAACAAATATCTTTATAAAAGTACACAATATTTTCAGCATCTTATGAATCCTTCAATCTTAGTCTTCACTAAGAAAAAAAACAGTAAATGTAGTATACGAAAATGTGGATTTTGAATAAACTATTCCAGAATTATTTCCACAAATTACTCTAAATGGAGTAGAAAGATGCCACAAATAGTTTTTACCCATTCAAGTAATGAATACAAAGCCATGATTTAGAACTATAGATGTATTTTTTTATTTTGATGTCCGTCCCATGCTGCATGGGCATGGAAACCTATGTCAGAGTCAAACACGGGAATGAAGTGACTGATGCCTCATGAAGAACAAAAGAATCAGTGCTGGTATGTATGACGGTATGCACTTGACATGGGTATGGAACCCAAATTGGAGAATCCATGTAGCATAGCATCCATATTATTCCTGATCTAGAATAGTATAGATGCATGGTTAAACGTTTACAACTCCGCAGAGGAAAACGACTATACCACGACAAAGTGAAAATACTCAAAAGGAGAAATCTAGCTTTTAGGGAAGTGTTCAAGATGATGTTTTATATGAGTAGAGGCCATCACATCATCACTTTTCCATTACAAGATATTCGCAAGGTATTATGTCAATTCGGGAAACTTCTGCTCCATATGTGTTTCTCTTTATGAAATTATTATTCATTGTTCCCACTATTCACTCAAAGTATTCCCTACAACAACCTTCAAGATCAACTAGGAATGTCCCTATCATTTCGGTGCAAGATCTGACAAATTTTAGAACAGGGTATTCTCTTTTGTTGGTCTTTAGTTTAGAGCCTTTTGCATGCCAACACCAAATTTTGACCGCCGCTTTGGGTGAATTTTTTTGCTCATCGTCACTTTTTTCTCTTGGCATTTGGATTATTTTTAGTATAGAAGTGGTCTAGCCACAACTTCTCATGTACTCTCATGTAAGAGATATCAATCCTTACCACCTTTCCATATTCTAAAATGAACCCTCCAAAGACCCTCAAGATTTCCATACAATGGTCTCTCTAAACTTCTAAAATCTACAATTACCCATTGCAATCAATGAATCAAATGTTATACCTTTCAGGATCAAACTAACCTAACACAGGTCTAGTGATCTCAATTGATCGATCCGTTGTCCTTCCAATAACGAAAAACATTATCCAAACTTTGTTTAAATCTTGATAAGTTGTTGTCCTCTAATTGTAGACATCTGACCTAGGCATTGTTTAAGCTACATTAACTCTCGTGCACACTTCAGCATCATTTTCCAATGTAATTCAGATACAGAAAGAGCAGGAAATTCTAGAAAAAAAATTGCAGGTTAGCGCTAATAGATTACCTGAACGTCCCCAGAAATGGTGCCAATGGCGAGATAAGATCCTTCTCGAGTCCATTGCACGGCACATACACTATCACTCGGGCCCAAGTCACACAGCTTTGTCACCTGTAAATGCAGAGATGATAAGAAAATTTCAATAATACGAAATGGGAAAATTACACAGAGGAGTTGGTCTCTCTCTCTCGATGATTTTACCCTCCTTTTCTATACACAAGAAACATCTCTCTTTCTCTACTGCATGAAGAATTTGGTCATATTGATGGGAGAGAGAGAGCAAGAGTACCTTGCTGGTAGAAGCACTCCATAGATAAACGCAGGTGCCTAATCCAACGGCCAACACATTCTGAGAGGACCAATCCACCAGGTTCAGATAAAAATCGTCTTGAAGAGATGGGGCGTCCAAAACCTGCGACCAGTCAATCCCCACCGTTAATCAAAGTGGGTGCAATTGTTCAGTGAAGCACGTATACATGAAGCAGTGTCTCTAGTAGTTAGCATGAAGCAGATAAAGTGTATGTGCTCTGCCAATTCTCTCTCTAGGAAAGAAGGGGCTCCTTGAAGGTGCCATGTGTACGGACCAAAACATCCTAAGCCACCCTAGGAGCCCCCGATCCCGTTCATTTTCCTGTGATAAAAAACATCTACCCTTTCCAAAGATCTCTCACAGCTCTCTCTTGAATTTATCTCTCTTCCATTTCTCCCTGTTTCTCACCTCTCTCTCTCTAAAGATTCATCTCTCTCTCACATCTCTCTCCCTAATAGAGAGAGACGACAAAGGGCGAAGGCATATACCCCTTTTAGAGAGAGAAAGAAAGATGACAAAGGGGGGGCAGATTTCTGCCTTCTTTTACAGAGAGGAGAGAGATGAAGTGGCCAGACTTCTGTCCCCTTTTAGAGAGAGAGGGGGAGAAAGAGGGAGAAAGAGAGGGGGGAGAGAGAGATGAATAACTTGGGGTGATACCCCCTCATCAGCTCACTCGGACGAGACTGGTTGGGCTCGGCTGAGTCTTGAATCAAAGATTCAAAGTTCCAGAATAGCCAGCTGAGGGAACGGACCTTGTTCGGCGTTTTGGGGATTTTCCTCGGGGCCTTAGGTGGAGTAGGAGCTTCGATCCAATCGGCAGGAGACTCATAAGGTGAGCTCGGTGTCGAACCTCTAATGGGATCAGCTTTAAACCTAAATAAATTCTTGCTGGGGCTAGCTGGCGAACCCAACAAAACCCTAGATGATCTTCCTGAAAATTTCTCAGGCGTTGATGGGGAGCAATCTGAACCCAAGAGCTCGCTTCTTAAAAGATTGCAGTAGGCCTCGTTTCCCCCTTCTTTTGATGGAGATGCCTTCTCATTTACAGAGAAGCAATGGAGCCTCGAAGAAGATCGGCAAGGGATGAATCGATCGCTGTAAATTGTGGGTTTCGAAGGGGAAGAAATTGTGGAGAGGGTGTGAAGGGACATGCCAGAAGGGAGATTCAAGGTAGTTTTCCTGCCATTGTTGCCGGAATCCATGGCTCTCCGGCAAGTGTCCACTGAATTTCCAGCAGATTGATGGCTGGGTTCTGCTCTGCTGCTGGTTGAGAGGAGAAGCTCCAATGGGGGGATGAGCAGCAGAAAGCTTGTGAATGGAGGAGGAGGAGAAGGGTTTTCAAATTTGAAAACAGGAAAGGAGGGATCGATGAGCTCAGCTGTGTTTTGTGAAATGGAAAATGGCCTGCTGTTTGACCGTTAGAATTCGGACGTCCAACGGTCACTAGGGCCCCACACGTGGACCAACCCTCTAAACTCTTTCTCTCTCTAAAAGTCCTCTCTCGCTCATAAAACGACGCTTCCCGCTCTCTCCTTTTTTAAGGAAAATTGTTTCATGCGGGCTGTACGGCATTTCTACACATGCGGTCCAAGCGTAATGAGATGGATGCAAGTAGGTGTTTTTATCTTAAAAACTTAATGAAACTGATTGTCCGAATGTTTTTTTATTAGAATTATTATTTTTAATTTTTAAAATTTATTTATTTATATTCATGATATGTATATTAGATATTATATATCTTTAAAAATTAAGCCCTACAATCCACCTCAAAAATATATTTATTAAAACGCCATCATTTCTATATACACGGGCATGGCCGCATAGAAACCGGGTCCCTCTTTCGAAGCCTCTCCGCACTCTCTTTATAGGGTCAAGCTCTCCTCTCTCTCTCTCTCTCT